AAAGAAAGAAAGAAAGAAAGAAAGAAAGAAAGAAAGAAAGAAAGAAAGAAAGGAAGGAAGGAAGGAAGGAAGGAAGGAAGGAAGGAAGGAAGGAAGAAAGAAAGAAAGAAAGAAAGAAAGAAAGAAAGAAAGAAAGAAAGAAAGAAAAGCTATAGATGCCAGGCAGTGGTGGCGCATGTCTTTAATCCCAGCACTCGGAGGCAAAGGGAGGGGGATCTCTGTGAGTTCGAGGCCAGCCTCGTCTACAAGAGCTAGTTCCAGGACAGGTCCAAAGATACAGAGAAAAAGATAGCATTCCACGTGTAAGGAAAATCCAGACAGGAAACTGGCTGCCAACAGAGCCTCCTCACTGGGAAGAATAACCCATACAATTGTCTACCCACAATTCCTCACCTCAATGATTGAACAGAGTAGTAGTCTCTCATATTTTGTGACATAATAATTGGGTAATTTTACTTTGGAAGGGGGATCTACACTGCAAAATAAATCAACCCCTTAAATGTTCTTCTAGTTTTCCTCTTCTTAAAATTTCCAAGATCACCCTTATTCAATAAGTAGACCATACCTAATTTGGACATTGCTTATGGATTCTATATTTAAATAAAATCTGACTTTTTGTAAACAAAAAGGACACGAAGGTAAAAACACAACTCTCACCTCAAAGAGGGCAAGAGACAGTTTATTCTGGAACCAAACATGAGTGACTGTATCCTAGGAACACAGACTCATGTTACTCTGGGTGTCAATCCAACTCCAAACTAGTTCCATGAAGTTTAATATGACAGAACAAATTAAACCATAAATCAAGACACTTTTAAAATACATTGATGGAAACATCAGGGAGGTAGTTACCACAAAGTTGGGAAATCTGTCTGAAGACATTCTTAGGTTTGGAGAAGCCAGGGGTCAGTGAGGTTACATACAGAGGTGGGCAATAAATGGCTGGGGGCAGAGGACTAAAGGTAGCCTAAGGTAACTTTGGCTTTGAACTTGCAATATTCCAACCTCTTCGCATCACTGAAGTTCTAATCAAGTCAGTATCTGTAGTTGCAGCTTCTTTTCTACAGCTTTGTCTAAAGGGAAAAGATCTTCTGACAATTGCACATTTGTGAAGACTCAATCCAAGCACCTGCCCAGCTTCAGGCTGTTTCTTCTGGAAGTAGAAGCTAGCAGGAAGACTGCACAGACAAGGGAAAGGGGATAGACTCAGATCTCAGGGTTGTAAACAGACTATATTTCTGTCTCTGCACCCGGCTATCCTGTAAACCCCAATCCCGACATTTCTGTTTATTATTTGTGGAAACATACTGTCCTAAACTCACTATGGAGGGCACACTAGCCTCCATCTCTGAAGCAATCCTCCTGTCCCAGTAATTATGGAAATTACAGGTTATAAACCACCACGCCTGACCTGCACATATTCTATCTTTAGCACGCTGAAGGCTGCATGTATTTTCCCAATTATCTTCTTTGATGCAATAGATCTCCCGTGGGGAGAGTGAGTAGTTCCTCAGGACACCTCTGCTCTGAGATTTTCCACAAGTACCCTTCATGTTTTAAGCAAGTCCTGGAGCAGAACCATATTCTGGCATCT